TTTCAACTCCCAGAATTCCTCAGCCAGCATGCTGGCTGGGGAATTCTGGGAGTTGAAATCTACGCATCTCAAAGTTGCCAAGGTTGAAAAACACTGCACTATAGCAATCTGCTGGGGGTCACACAACACACCCAGAGTAATGTGGGGCTGAAGAAGATGGTAAACCAGGCTCAAGCCAAAACTGTCTGCAGTCACTGGTTCTCTTTTTTGAGACCTCTCCATTTCCACTGTTTTTCCAGCACAGCCATTTCTTTCCTTCTTTTCTGTCACCCACTTTCCTTCTGGGCACCCTCAGAGGAGGGTCCAATCCTCCTTATCGGAAGTAGAAAAAATTGCACCCAGAGGAACTGTTGAAATTAGGTTGAGAGCATTAAATTAGCTGCAAACTAGTTAAGACTCTGGGTTACCCACTACAGCTTCAAAATGAACTCAGTTCAACTCATCTCCAAATCTTTATTATATTATTATGGTCAGTGACCAGCTGAGATAATATACAACTATAAGAAAAATGATCTATAAACTATGGAAAAAGTACCTAGATTAGAATCATGGGCAAAAGGCCGTGAACTCACCAGAAGACTAAAATCTATATAGAAATTCCAAGATGGACTATGCATTGTATACATGTTAAGACTATATTGTATAGATGAAAATGGCTGGATACTGGATTAAGCTTAATCAATTGTATTAACATCTTGTCCTGTAGTATATAAAATTAAAAGTGAAGGGCTTCCAAGACAGTATACAAAACAGTGTACAGAGCCTTGCATCAACCAACTGTTTGTGTAAGTTCAGATTTTTCAGCAGAATAGATAGGGCTGTGTCTACTCTGTTGTTCCTGAAAACCTCCATTTTCATTTTTGCTAGAAAGTGAAGATCCCACTGGATCCTTTACAGCTGCCAAGCCATGTGGGGAAAACCTGATGAAATCTCCAGCCAGAACGGGGTTGAATGCAAGAGGAAGCAACTTCTGTGCACTGCATACCTCTCTCTCCACACCCCAATTTATTAAGAATAAATATGCAATTTTTGCCTATTTCCAAGGTGCAGAATCATCTGGAAGAAAGAGACTAGATTTATCGTCGCCATCCCAAATTTAAAAAAAAAAAAAAAAGGCCATGAGAACAGAGACCTCATTCTTGTTTCTTTTTCTATTTTGAAGTTTGGGCAGAATATTTTTTCCCAGGGGAATAATGATCACCAATTACAGAAAAGAAAGGGCACAAGGAAGAGGTAAAATAAGAATGCAAAGGGAATGGAGGAGGCAGGGAAAACTCAGGGACTGTGTTCCAAAAAACTGTGAAAAAAATGTTAGTAAAAACAAGTCCTTCTCAATCTGCTTTTGCTTAAATGGGGGAATGAATAAAAAGAGACCTTTAAGGGCCTTTTATCAGCTGCTACTTCAGAGAAGCAAGTGGGGTTTTCTTCCTTACATAAATTACAAAGGCAAGTGCCTGCTTCGTGCTTTTTAATAATCTGAGCTCCCCAGAGACGAAGAGACAGACACAATACGCCACTGTGTGAACCACACTGCGTAGCTGGCTCCCTCGGTCAAGACGTCAGGCTCCCTGGGCTTGGAAGATCCACAACAAAGACCCCACTGTCTTAGCCTACTTAGGCATAAGCTCCAGACAGGGGAAAGAGCCAAACACACACACACACCATATAGCAACCCAAGATGATGACACTTGTCCTTTCTGAAGACCAGGCCAATGGAGCATCCAATGCAGATGCACCGCAGACAGCCTGGCAGGAACTGAAATTTCCAAAACAGGGATAAAAAAGAAAGACTAGTGGGGAAAATTTGGGCTGGGGAGTAGGGAGAAAGCAGGGGTGTGGGTGTGGTGTGCAAAAAGTCAAGATGGTGACCCCAACTATGCAATCGAAACTCCACCCCTTTTCAACATGCATATTAAAAAGGGGCTGGGGTGGGGCTTTGATTGCACAGTTGGGGTCACCATCTTGGCTTTTTTCATGCATGCCCCATGGACACCCCTGGAGTCTGCCTGTCAGGAAGCTGCCCACAAAGTAAGCATGAAAATGGTTTGCTTGGGAAACTTCTTTAGAAGATTTATGGCACAAAGTGACCTAAGTGTAGGACGAAATTGGTGCCTTCAACCTTCTATGAACGAGGGAGGGAGGGAGGGAGGGAGGAAGGAAGGATTCTTTCATTGCTTTTCAAAAGGGCTGATTCCCAATTTGAGGAGACGTTCTGCATCGTGTTCTTCTGGAGAGTGCCTCACTTTGGTCATTGAACCCTGGATGAACTGCCTGCTTCAGGATGCTTCATGAGAGAGACCTCCACGCCCAGGTGGCCACCTTCCACCAGATAAGATGGGTGGTTGGAAATGATTTGGTTTCCTCTGGCACCTCCGTTTGAGGTGGAGCAATTTGTTAAATGGCTGGATCAGGAGGTCAAGGAGACACTGAGGAAGAGCAGAGCTGCGTTACACAGATCTGGATTGCAATATTCCAAATCATGTTGGCTGATTTACTACACCCCTTCTTTCCCACAAGTCCCCAAAACCATGCTAAGTGAAGGACATTATGGGAAATCCCAAGATGGGCTAGATCGAGTGCCTCGTAGTGTTTCCAGTACTTGCTCAGAAGAAAACAAAAATTAAGAGAGGGCACAAGGCAAGCTTTTAACCATGGCACCTGCCAGCGTGTTGAGGCCCTGGCACCCACCCAAAGATGGCATATATTGGCGCCAGGCTGTCCCTAGAGTATCGCACTCCTTGACCCATCTCAAGGAGCTATTCCAAGCTCAATCTTCCCACCTGTTTTTTAGAGGATATGAACAAGCTTTTTTTTTGCTACACTCAATAACCACAACCACAACTCCCACAGATGTGGAAGGCCTTTTTTTTTTTTTTTTGCTTGGGTGTGGAAGAAGGAGATATTAAGTAGTGTATAGAACCAAAAACACAATTTCCAAGCGGGCGGAAGGCTTACATTTAATTGACCATGCTTAATTGCTATTCTATCCAGTGTAGCATAATGAGCATTTCTGTTCCTCCATAATCTTGAGAGGACACTGAATTGATATGAGGGAAACCTCTGTAGAGGGAGCATTCCCTAACTGGGGTGCCCCTTAATGCATCATTTTGGACCTGGGCTACAAATGAAGCAAAATAAGCTGACAACAGCAGATGGACTTTTTCTGATTATGGATGGTGAGAAGCTAAAAGTTCTCTTTTAAAAATGGCAAGGAAAGAGCTGGGCTGGACCTATAATATTTGCTTTTCTAGTTTGTATTTAAAGGAGATCCTTTCCCCCAATTTCTTTAGTCACTATATAGTCAAATCTCCTTTGAGTCAACCCTGACTCTTGATGGCTTCATTCATGAACATGACCTTGTCCTTCTCTAAGAAGAAAAGTTTTCAATTGGTTGCTTCTGGGATGTTCTCTATATTTTGCAATTCTGTCTACAGCTCAGAGATTTTCTGGTGGTGTCCTATCAAAGTGCTAACCTGTGTTGACCTTACTGAGTTTCCTGAGCTCAGACAAGGTACAAGCATTAAAAATATGATTTCTCCTTCCCAGATATCACCTGAAGGACACCATCCACCCTAGCACCTTATTCTCAACAAATCTGGCTAAACAGTCCAAGTCTGTGATATTAAGACTTGAATGTGTACATGATCTCTCCTCCATTGGAGCTTTTATTTTACAGAAAAGAGTCCATTCTAAGTACATAATTAGCCTATTTGCAGGTCATCCATTGATTTTATGCATGTATGAACAAGCCTTTTGTTTTATCAAAGTGCTTTGATTAAACATCAAATCAAAGCATTGTTTTAAAATGCTTCAGATCAGCCCATCTAAAATTTAATGTCATGTCTCTAAGCCACAGCACATGAAAGCCATTCATTGCATGCTACAACTACCTGGTCTCACCAATTAAAAAGAGAAAAAGACTAATTCAGACTTCAGGTACAGAATTACATGCTTAAATGCTTCCCCTTATCAAGAATTCTCCATCCTTTGTCAATGGTCACTTCCAGAAGAAGATGCAAATTCAAACCTGGATTGTTCCACTTTTGAAATGGTGCCGTCCCAAGAGTCTGTACAATGCACTTCTGCTGACCGCATACGTCAGGTCTTGACGCTTCTATGCCAGCATCTAAATTACTGGTTTTATTGCTCTGTGGTTCTAATGCTGTCATCCACCCTGAGTCCTCCAGATAAGACAAGCAAAGGGATGAAATCCACACTACCAACCAACTTGCAAGGTATTAAGGGTGCGAGCTACCAAAGGAAGTCTTCTCTGTACCTTGTTGCAGCTGTTGGCAATGGAATGCACCTTGCGAGTTTTCCTTAATTACAGTTGAGCCGTGCATGTTTAATTAAACAGCTTGGCAGTTCATATCACCCAGTTGCTTGAACTTTTGAAGCTGCAATTTCCGGCATTCTCAGCCCACAAAAGTTGGTAGCAAGCTCTTCCCTTCCTGAAAGGTTCTAGGCTGTCCCTTCTCTACTTGTAGCCTGCGGGAGCTTGTTTGGGGTCTTTAGAGATGAATGCAAAGTGGAAGATAATGCTCTGTTCCCTCCTCCGTTTATGTGCCTGTGATTCCTTGTCACTACAGCTCTGAGGTTGGTAGTAATACACAAGATTGCTCATGCTGCAACAGGCAGTTCTGAAGGAAGGAAGGAAGGAAGGAAGGAAGGAAGGAAGGAAGGAAGGAAGGAAGGAAGGAAGGAAGGAAGGAAGGAAGGATCAGCAAGCTGGAATGGGGTGGGCAGGAAGACAGAAAGTCCTTAAGAGAAGAAGGCCCAAAGAAGAGTGAGAATGCTGAGTGGCCATGGAAGGCCAGGTGTTTTGGGGGAGGATGAAAGAAAGAAAAGGCCAGGGGAGGAGGCAGGGGAATGGGGGGAGGGTTTCTAGAAAAGGGCACTATTGTGTAGAGGAAGACAGAGATGGCCTTGAAAAAAATATGTAGCAACCATTGGGAAAACAGGAATTTAGCCTTGGAAAACAGAAGAGGTGAGAGAGAAATTCAAGATTGCGCCACCTTGACTCTTCTTCGTATATGAGAGAGGGAAGGAGAAATGCTGTCAAGCTTTCAAGATTCTGTTATTATAGCCTTTATCAATAAAACAGAGTTCTAGTATTTCTAGTGGTGTCTGTCTCCTGATCTGGTCTACCTGGAGCTGACATCCTGGCTGGCAAAATAGGGACATTTTGCACCGCAACCAACTTCATCAGACCCCACTTGTTTGTTTTAACTGGTTAAAAGCTCTGACAGTTCAAGGTTGTTATGAAATCATAGAACTATAAAGCTGGAAGGGACTGCAGGGATCATCTAGTCCAACCTTCTCTAATGGGCAGGAAAACCAGCTAATCAATCCACGAGAGGTGACTTTCCAGCCTCTTCTTCAAAACCTCTAGAGATGGAGAATCCACAATCTCCATAGGTAGACCATTCTGCTCTCGGCAGATCATACCGTTAGGACAATTTGTTATATCTGAACAAAATCTAGGCAGCTACAATTTACATCTATTATTTCTGGCCCTAGTTTCTGTGGCAACACCTCTTGTCCAGCACCAGGTCTTTCCATCCCTGCTAAAACATTTGTCACCAGATAAACCTTTTTTTAAAAAAAGAGGACAAGGGCCCTATTAAGGGAGGAGGACGGAATACTTTTCTCCATGGAATTAATGAGGCTGAATCAATTGTGCTGTCAGTGAGGATATGGTGTTATGAATTGCATTTTGTGATGTCCAAGGGGTGGGAAGGAGGATGCAACTACAGTAATGTCTTACCATAGGCAGTAGGTAGGTGGGTAGGTAGGTAAGATAGGCAGATACATATGTCAATGCCTTGAGCAGCATTCCCCAACTTTGTGGCCTCTACATAGCAGTTAGCCCAAAACATCTAAAAGGATCTCTGTTGGGGAATTAAAGAAATATTGCAACTGGCAGAAGCCACCTCCAAGCTCAAGAAAAGGTCTTTCCCAGCGCTGATGTAGAAAACGGTTTAACAGAAGGGGCAGAGGAGTGCCCTAAGACTCTTTTGCAGGTCTCTACTAGGAAGCTGCAGCCCTCCTCTGCCTCCTTCTTCCATAGCAACAGGTCAGTCTGATCCTTTCTCACCTGATTGGCCGAGATGGGTGTCTGCACAACTACTCCACCAATGATCTCCGTCTTATATGGGTGCCTTCCCACTTCTGTGGCTAGGGACAAACTTCCATGCTTCGGTACCTAATGGAGAAAACAGAATAAATTACTCCAGATGCCCAAAACCAATCAGTGGTGATTCAACATTTGCAAGCATCTTTCTGCAGCCTTCCAATGGTCCTGTTTTCTCAATGATTGTACCAATTGCTAGAGATGACTGAAACAAGCTAGAGTCACTGCAAATGCTCTGAAATAGAAGGAACCATGAACATTCATATGGAATCTGTTAGACACTTCTTTCAGATTCCTGTGGCCTTCCTTCTCACCCACTAAAATACTGGCACATATTGCAAATAAGAAGTAACGTCTATTTGCCTGCTAGAAGAACATCGTTTTATCCCTTTGAAACAAGATCTAATCATTCTGCTCATTTATAAAGATGGGACTAGAACGATTTGTACAATGCCATGGCCAGTGATTCAATTTGTCGTATCCAAAGTTGCCGATTTTTTTTTAAAAGCCCCAAATCCTTGCAAGGGAATTTTTGCAAGGAATTCTTTTATATCCTCATTCCTTTACGTGGATCCTGTCACTGATTCATGCAGCTTGAATTTCCTGCTCTATCCTTAGTATTTTAAGAATTCGATCTTGGCTTGCTGGCCTGCAGCACATTTATAGTTCTTAAGATATGAATAAGTTTTTTCCATGCATCATATAGGCCGTGAAGGGAGAAAAAGTCCTCTGTTCATCCAACTGTGGACAGAATGCTAAAAGTGCTCTGATGTCACTCAGGCCAAATCTAGCCTCCAAGGATTGACTTGATGGCTCATCTTCAAGTTTAGGTCAATATTATCCCTCAGCACGTTCTCTTTCTCCTTCCTTTGAGCATCTGTTTTTCTATCCCCTCAGCGTCAGCTGTTTTATCATTGCAAAATCACGATGTTGTCATACATCTGCCTCTTCAAATTTAGCAGCACTAATACAAATAAACAGAATGTAAAAAGCCTCAATCAATGTCCTCGGTTGAGGAAGAACATAACAGAAATGTAATCCAAAACAGCTTGTGCCATAATAAATAAATAAATAAATGTCTCTAAAGTTCCATCAGGCTGTTTTGGGTTCTGATGCAATTAATTAATGCGGCTACCACTTCAGAAAAAAAGTTATCACAGAAATACAGCAGTTTCTCCCAATATGCTCGGTTTGTTAGACTCCAGACCCCATCTGTCCCAGTCAGTACAACCCATGATGGAGCTGCAAAGAGATTGACAGGTGGCAAGGCTCTGCAAGCTGAGGATGATGGAAGTGGTAGCCCAACCAATGCATGAGCCCAGTTTGAGAAAGGCCCTTATATCTGGTATTAAAGCAAATGTGTATTTCTGAGCTTCATTTTTTTACAAATATTTTAACTTGCTAGAGGTGTTTAAACAGAAGCCTGCAATCTCTTTCTAGCACTGAGATGTTTTGCTAAGATGTTCCAAATCCTTTAGACCAGGATCCATCCAAGGATGAAAGCTTTCTCTAGACATAATACTGCCTAATTCAATGTTAGATCGTGAGCCAGTCCTGAGTTAAGGCTGACATCAGAGCCAAGACTCATATGTTTGCCTAATCTTCTAAAATAAGCATCTTATTCCATCTTCAGTAACTTGAAGCCGAGCTTCCTGTTATTATCCTATTAATTTTTTTTTCTCCCTCAGGGACTAAAAACGTTGGTTTTCTAAAACAAATGTCCAAGCTTTTCTGGATGAGACACTGTAGTCAACTGCCTACATTTACGCTTGGCAACAGATGCCAACCTTCTCTAATGACTGAACCATTACTCTGGGTGCTTCCCTTTTTCCTTTCTAATTGCTTGCCCTTGCAGTAGGGCCCAAAGATGCTCAAGAGCCTCCCACACCATTCATATCATTTGCATGGCCTTTCATATGCCCGTTGCGCAGCTACATCTAACAGCAGCTGGCGTCTATCGACATTTTTCTGCAACCACAGCTCTTGCTTGCATTTCTCCATCTGATAGCAGCAATTCAGAGCTACAGTTTGGTGTCAGATCCTGGGTGGATTCTTTTCCCTTGGAAAGGTGAAGGGCTGGGCTGGTAAAACTGGCTTTTTACTAGGCTAACACCCAAATGGCCTAGATCCCTTCTGCTACATCTGATCCAGCATGTAACGTTCTCAAACCACTGGAGCAGACGGGCACCAGTTAAGTTAAAAACCAGCTGAAGAGCTGGTACAAAAGCAGAGATTGGGGTTCTCTGTTCATCAAGGTGATTCTGAGCAAAGAAGAGTCAACCTGCCAGATCAACCTACAATCCTATCTAATACTTCAACCTCATGTTTTCCCAGTGGCCAAACCAATGCATCAATGAAGAACACAAGCTGAGTATTAAGGCATGCTCAGTGCTGTGACCCTCCAGCTACTGGAATCCATGAGCCCACTGCCTTCACTATGTAAAGCCATGTTGTCTACTAGCCACCAGCTTAGAGGTTAGCACTCTGTAGCTGGGATCTTTAATTGTAGCTTGGTCTGGTGTGCGAAGCCAGCCACTGTGATTCATAAAAATAAAATAATAAAATAAAATACGTTTAAATAAATCATGGCTTAGAGCAATGTGTGAAGCTAGTTTGCATATTAGTGGTCATCGCTGAAAGTTGCCGGCCAGAAATGGTCGACGCTTCAGCGGTTCGAGTCCAGCCTTCGC